GTTTCTACATCACTTTATTAAAAGACCCTTAGTGTTAGTTATCCCTCCCGGTACTTCCTCTTTTCCCCTGTTTTCCAGTGCCTGTTCCATTTAACTTCCTCCTCCTTTACTGCCTGTCCTCCATTATAAAACTGCAATCTGTCTCCCAAGAAAGACTCCCTCCCAAGGCTCCTTACTAGTTTTCTGATTACTAGTGCTGAAGCTTTTAATGTTTGCTGGTACATTTGAGTGAACAACATTTTCTCTGTGTGTGTCTCTTTGTACCTCTGTCTCCCTCTTTTTTTCTCTCTTGTTTTTATTAATATTTTTTAAAATTTTATTTTTTATTTTTTGATGCTTGCTATTTAGGCCATCTGAAACTGACCTCAGTCTCACAGGTATCATTCTGCCTCTGCTCTCTGAGTGTTGGGATTACAAGTGTGAGCCACCATGCCCAATACTCTATTTTTTAATACTACTTATAATTATATAACACTAAATTTACATATCTCCTAAAATTGAGTGCCTATAATCATTTCTGTGTTTATTTTTTGATGCTTGCTATTTAGGCCATCTGAAACTGACCTCAGTCTCACAGGTATCATTCTGCCTCTGCTCTCTGAGTGTTGGGATTACAAGTGTGAGCCACCATGCCCAATACTCTATTTTTTAATACTACTTATAATTATATAACACTAAATTTACATATCTCCTAAAATTGAGTGCCTATAATCATTTCTGTGTCTGTATTGTGCTTAGTTTTTGCTTTGTTTGGGATTCTTTTTATTTTGTTAATTTCCTGCTACTTGTCTTTTCTTCACTAATTAGTAAAAATTCTTTTTTAACTTTCTTCATTTTATTTATTAATTTTTATTGTGAATATTCATTATATAAAGCAGTAGTCTTAGTAATGTCTTTGTAAGGTCAAATTCTTATCAAATTTTTGTGAATTTCACACAATATTTTGATCATATTCAGATGCCTGCTCTATTTACAATAGCCAGGAAATGGAAACAACCTAAATGTCCATCAATTGATGAATGGATAATGAGAATGTGGTGCATTTATGCAGTTGCAATGCCATTTTTTATCAGCACATGCATTTTGATCATATTTACACCCTTTAACCCTTTCTGATCCCTCCTTCCTCTTCATCTCCTTCCTCTTTCCAAATTGTCCCCTTTCTATTTACCATCAATATTTTCAGACTTTAGCAGGCAATGAAAAATCGTCCATCCATATGAATTTACCTTTACCCCTGTCTGCTGAAATCAGTTTCCTCTAAATGAGGCCTGTTCACCCCTAAAGAGCTAGCTAAAAATGAGACAGAAAGTCTTGCAATTACTCTTCATCAAGGAGCATGGCTATGTGGTGAATAATTACTCACTACCCTGCCCCTAATTAGGAGAACTTTGATCCTGCAATCTTTGGCTAACACAGTTCCTGACAAAATACACTTGGAGATGTCTATGTTGGTAATGAACTTGACCACGCCCAGGCATCACTGCCTTTATTTCCTGTTCAAAGTTTTTATTTCCCATTTTCTGCAGTGGGCTTTCTGTGGACTGCTTTCCAATAATTTTCAGGACCTCATATTAAAACATTTGTTTCCTTTCTGTTTTGTTACAAACACATGCAGAAAAATAATCATATAACCGTAGCTTTAACTTTCGTTTTGATTTGTTGTCTTACTTTTAAAATTGGAGATATTATTGGGCAAATTTGCCAGTATTTTTCATTTTGGTTCATCCTTTTTTTTACATTATTCTTTAAAACTCAATTAATACTGCCTAATGACACTATATTTTCTTCTGTATTTATATGTAGTTTTTATGTACCTTACCTGAATTTCAGGAATTCATTTATTCTTATGCAGTCATTTGATGATTCAGTTTTGTTTATCTGCTGATTGATAATATCTCAGCCCAGTATCATTTCTTCAGTAGCCATTTTTCCTCATCTATTAACAGTAACACTATTTTTTCATATATTTTTTCTATATGAAAATCAAGTTTTTCTGAGTTCTTTCTTCTACACTGAGTTATATTTCTATTTGTATATTAATCCTACATTATCCTTATAATTACAACTCTGTAATGAGGTTTGTTATCTGACAGAACAACTCTTATTTTATTTTAATAGCTGATTTTCTAAATTCTGGGACATGATATATTCCTTTATACATCTACTTGTTTGTTTAATTTCAGTCTGTCCTTTATGAGTTATTGTCTTTAAAAAAGATATTTTTGCATGCATTTATTTGAACACATAAAGAACAGCTATTTACAATATGTCATGTGAAGGGAATTTATAAATTGATCTTTTATTTTCCTTCTGAACCTAAATAAATCACTTTGGATTTTCAGTTTTATGTGTTATCACTATGCTTGTAAAAGAGCATATGAATTTACATTGCTTTCTTCCTTTTCTTTCCTTCTAGAAAGCCAAAGGTAATAGAGCTTGGAGTTTTACTTGATTTTCTGAAAAGTCTTCTGCATTAGCTCCCTAAGAAAACAGTAGTCATGCCTTTGCCTCCTTTCCTTCCAAATTCCAGGGACATCTCAGTTTTATCAGAGGGTCTATTCTTTTAGCAGAAATGTCTTCTGTGACATAAATAAAAGAAAGTTCTTCAAAGTCTTTTGGTAATTTCTTCAAGTTAATGCATATTTTAGATAATTTAATAATAGACACTAATTCGATTGAATTTAAAACATTTTTCATGACATCCATTTATTCATTCTTTATATTCTATTTTTTATTTATTATTTTAATTTTATGTATATGAGTCTATTGCTTTCATGTAGGTAGGTGCACCCTTGTCCTGCAATACCCACTGAGATCAGAAGTGGGTGTCAGATTCTCTGGAACTTGAGTTATAGACAGTTATTTGCCACCATGTGAATGCTAGGAATGGAACCTGAGTTCTCTGAAAGCACAATCAGTGCTCTTAACCACTGAGCCATCTCTCCAGTCCTTATACTCTACTTTTGTCAGCAAGAATTTGAGTATAATATATAGTTCTCTTTTTGCAATATCAAAGAAGGAAAAGGGGTGGATATTATTATTTGCCAATTGTGTTATGTTTCAATTTCAGTGTATTAAATGTTCCTAGTCTAGGCTCTCCTTACTTCTCTATTTTATCTACTAGAACAGAAAAGTACATGGTTGACTTCAGAATAGATTAGACATGTTTGATTGATTGATTGACTGATTTATTGAGATCATTGAATCATTGTTAGTCAAGATGAGAAATTTCCAATTCCACATTCTACATTAATTAATTAATTAGAAAAGACCTTTGCATTTGCAACAAGGTTCAGATCTACAATATGACTATGCATATCTTTACCTGTTCTCTTGTTACAATGGCATATTTAAGAAGATAAAAATACTGGACAAGTAAGCAATGTCTTCCCTACCCAGCTGATTTTCTTAAAATAGAAACAATTGCTTTTCTCTTCTTATGGTTGACTACTCCCAAGTACTGATAACTATCCAAGTCATAAAAAGCAGCCATAAGATGCCTGTCTACCTGGACTTTCCTTTATGTTAGATCAATACTACCTTACATTGCATAACTTCAAGAGTGACTGAATAAAGTTTACAACAAGAATTTTGATTGGCTCAATAAGAAAAAAATGAGAAAGAAAAGGGAGAGGAAGATAGGAACAAAGAGAGAGAGAGAGAGGAAATAAGACTGTCTATACATCTATGCATGTTATTTTTAGATGATTTTTACCTGTCCACATCAGAGAAATGCTTTTAATAATGAGCTGAGTCACAGGGTAGAAGGTTGATCTGTTAGCAAAACTTTCTGAGAATATCAAGTGCCTGTCCCTAAAGACCAATTCGTCTATCATGAATTTCATATTTTCTTAATAGTTCTAAAGAAGATTAAGGGTCATTTTGTTTGTTTACAGCATAAATTTAATTTCTCTCAGCCTGATAAATAGCTTGTTCAGGTGATTGTCATTTACAACTCACGTCATCTTTACTCATTGTAACTTCTTAAAGATTAACCACCTTTTAAAACTACTTAGTGTATGGAGACACACCATTTCCAGAGGGACATACATAGCACATTCACACTGAAGAGTATCAATGTAAGATTGAGTGGATGTTACCTTAAAAAACCCTTAAGTATTTGAGAGCCTTTACTCTCTAGTTAGTGCTAGAGTACCAGTTTTGCTGATGTGGAGAACATAAATATCTCTCACAGCTCCTAAATTAGCCATCCTTCAAAAATCAAACATGAAGTCAAACAGAAGTAAAACTTCAAGGTATGGCTCTCTCAGCTCACACGAAACCATGTTTGCCACTCTCATTGTCATGCTGGTGGTGCTCTGTGCTGGATTAATTGCTGTGTCCTGGCTGGCAATCAAGGAATCAGAAACAGGTAAGTCATGCACTAACCCATGCAGTAGATTCTAAGTCACCTGTCAGTGTACTTTATTCAGTGCTGTGCTTTCAAAAGATACTTTTGCTTCATTTAAGTGCTTTTGGGTGCTTTATTTCATAGAATCATAGAGAACTTAGTTGGTGTGTAATTTGAAAATTAACTAGAATCGTGTTCAATTTCTCATTTCTGCATACAGTATAGTAGATTCCACAGCCTTCAGGCTCATTATCATAGAATTGAAAGCATAACTATGCATTTAAGTATATATGTTTATTTATATAGTATAGACTACACAAGTTCGCAGATCCAAAACTAATAAACGCTTATTGCCTATGTGAGATATCTTTTATTCTCTGATTAGCTTATGCATTTATGTAAGAAAATTTAAATGGAAATATAGGTATATAAGAATTCCAATCAGTTTGAGCAGTAATGTGATAGAAATAAAAATGAGATAAACCAAAAAAATGTTAAAACATCATTAGTCAAAACTACCTTAATATGGTCCAACAGCTTTTCAAAAACATTCTAATATAATATCTTGTTAATGGTATCTCACCTTGTAGGTTTAAGAATCTGGGACAAATAATTTGAGCATAAATTTGCATATGTTTGCAACATTTGGTACTTAGCAAAAGATTTCAAACTGAATTCCAAATCTAAGAATTTACTCTTATTTATCACTTAATGACTTCCAGGATAAATAAAGTAAATCAAAAGCATCACAATAACTTAGCAGTAAGCATTTATTCTTTCTTGTATAATATTTACATTTTAAATGATGAATTATGTGTGAACAATTTAATTCTGAAATCCCACAAAGAGGACAGATTACATGTAAGTGTTCTTCAATTTAGAAAATAAATATTTCTGGATTTTCTATTTTCTCCTAATAAATAAATGTGCGAATTTGAATAAAATAAAAGTGTTGGTGAGGGGGAAGGATGTGTGGGGGCATGAATGGGGGAGGGGTTCTGAATTTGATTGAGAACTATTGTATGAAGTGTACAAAAATTCAATAAAAAATTTAAAAACAAAATAAAAGTAAAAAGTTTGCAGATTTGTGGGAAAATTTCAATATAATCTATGGATTATTAGATATTATAATCATGTACAGGGAATAAAATTTGATGATAAAAATATTTATAAATATTTTATATGATTACATGAACAATTCATTTATACTTATTAGAAAAAAAATATTTTTCTCTTATTTATATGCTGTATATAACTTCAAGAAAGCATAGTAACTTTGAAATCTGTTGGAATTTTTTAAGTATATATATTTTTTAATTGACTTTTTGTGGCTGTATTTCATACAGAACAACTGAAACAATCTTAATCATCCCCACTGGCATCCTTCCATACCCCCCCCAACTGGAGCCCATTTACTCTGTCATCCCTGTTACTGCCTACTATGTTTTCAGTACCCCCAGCTGTTCCCCAGTGCAAGTCCATCAGTTGAGTCTAGTCAGCCTATCTACAGTCCCTTGTTTTAGGAAAATCCGCTTTTCTTCATCTAGCGGCAATCAGTTGCCAACATTCCTTTAGATAAGATTGTGGTCTGCTGTTCATTATCCCAGTTTTATGCTTGGTTCCTGTCTACCTGCTTGGCATGGGTGTATGCTGACACCTTTAGATGAGCAGTTTCCTAGGAGCTTATAGGACTCTGTTTCCCTATGGCCATGCACATCCTCACTGGCTTACAATCTTTCTTCCCCCTCTTCTGCGATGGTCCCTAAGCCTTGGGTGGCATCCTGTCCAAGGACCACTATTTATCAGACTCTTGATTGCTACACTTTGGCCAGTTGTGACCTGCTGTGTTCCTGTCGCTCTGCTGTATGAGGGAGCTTCATTAGAACTGATTCATTAATGTCATCTTCTTTATCCCTGTTCTATGTTCCATGAGCCTTGGGTGTAGAGGCTGCACTGCAGATGTGTCCCTGAGGCCTGGGCAATTCACAGATAATGTCTATGTGTGACCAGTTGTGGTACTCTGTATTAGTCTCTGACTACTGCAAAATGAGCTTCTTTGATGAGTCAAAGTAAACTTATCCCAGCACTTGGGAGGCAGAGGCAGGCAGATCACTGAGTTCAAGGCCAGCCTGGTCTACATAGCAAGTTCCAGGTCATAAGGAGCTACAGGGAGACCCTGTCTCAAAAACACCAAAAAAAATTAGTAAAACTTGCATTAGGTTCTTATATAAACTTCACAAAATATGTTATTTTCTTGTGGAATGTATACATTATCTCGACTAAAAAATTCCCATTAGTACAATATTATTAATAGGGCCATATTCTTTATTCAAAATCTGCTAGTTTCTCCACCAGTGTCCCAATATTCATGATGTAATTCAGTTTCCTACATAGGACTTGCTGTCTACCAGTGTCCCAATGCTCATGATGTAATTCAGTTTCCTAGGTGGGACTTGCTTTTCGTGGTCTCTTCATCGCCTCCAGTCATGACAGCTCTTTATTCTTTCATTGTCTTCTTTATTTAAATGTGCAAATTTAAATCCAAGTTTGTGTGTTAACAAATATGAAATTGCACAACAGTAAGTTATATGATTAGAAAATGTAGTTAAGCATCATTTGTAATATTAGCACTCATATTTTTCTGGAGAGCAAAGTTTGGTGATTAGGAGAGAGTTATGGCTATAGTCAATCAAATCTATGTCAAAATGTCATACCTTTCATTACTAATATTCACTGTCTTGGAAAAGTCTGTCATTCTAATCCTTAATTTCCCCAATGTGGAAAAGAAAATCTATCATCCACTTATATCATCCATTATGAGAATTGTGGATCATTATTAATACATTAACTAATGGTTTCATCATTGTGTGAATTTGAGATGAAGACTGTTCATTTAAAATATAAATATGCATCAAAAATATAATAAAGGGATTATTTGATTTGTTCATCCTGTCTTTACATTATTTTCCTGTGAACACAGTGTATTTTTTGGATCATTCTCAGTAACTCCTACAATAAACACAGTCCTTGTAATATGCCAAAAGTCATACATGCCAAATTTATAATTACTAGGATTCAAGAAGTAGCTTCAAAGCTGTGTTTCAAAGTTACTAACATACCGAAATCTTCACAGCTATTCACGTTCAGAAAACCAGCAGTGTCCTGGATGCTTTGGGACCAAGAAACATCTGAGAGCAACTACAAAACTTTTAATAGTCCATTTCTCACTGTGTTTTCCTGAATCAGTTCCCATAATTGATTTAATATGGTTATTCCCTGTGTCTTCGTACAGGAATCTCAGTTTTCAAAAGGGAATGAAAAAACCCTTAGAACCTTATAGTATAGATTTCACTTCCAAAAATAGAGAAAGAAATAATGGAAGAGAAAATCAGCCTATTTTTTACCTTTAAAACCTGGGCAGATAAAAATGAAGAAAGACATGGTTAGTTTTGAAAAGAAGACTGCAAATAAAAAAGCAAGAATTAATTATAGGGCTGTTACATTAAGTGAACATTTTCCTTCTATGTCACAAACCAGGGTGTGCCTTTCTATTCATAATTCATTGCTTTTTATTATTAATTCATCTAGATGCAGTACCTGGAAAAAGTCATGAAACCAGAGGGACATTTAAAATCACATCTGGAGCAACGTATAATCCTAATTTACAAGACAAACTCTCAGTGGATTTCAAAGTTCTTGCTTTTGACATTCAGCAAATGGTATGGGGGCTGTTGCTCTAACAGCTGTTTAAATTTTCATAATAAAGTTTTAATAGCATCTTGCCAAAAGATACATAGATCCCATTTTCTATCTATGAATATATTAGTAAATAAATGTATTTCTTAATCATGTGATTTCCTTCCCCTCTAAATGAAGAAAGTTTCTATCATTCTAAACAAAAGAATTGCCTGTATTTTGTATAGAAATTTTAATAGAAGTTGAAATCTTCAATTTAGCATACTTTTCAATCTTTTTAGATAGATGAGATCTTCCAATCAAGTAATCTGAAGACTGAATATAAAAGCTCAAGAGTTTTACAATTTGAGTAAGTGTACTCAAAACCTGTTTACAAACACCACAGTCATTCCAACTAACATTTCACTCAAATATGTACTTTTACTATGTGTAGGAAGAAGGAATATTTAAATTTTCCAACATTTCGTGGAGATTCAAAAATGTTGTATAAAGTTTCATTTTCTGTATCAGACAGTACTGACTTTGTATACCTGATACATTGACTTGTTTCTCTTAAGGTTAAAATTCTGCAGACAGGTGGAGGGGTTGAGAGTGAATACATGCACATTCAGGTATAGTGTTTAATTTGTTAAGTACATGTGGAAGAAACTCATTCAGTATTAGTAAAACAATATTAGTCACGTAGATTATTTACATTGTAAATCATAAAAGAGAGGAAACTTTCTTATTTTGTACCTAGAACAGGACTTTTTGTCTGCCATCTTGCTGATGTCACTGTGAATCTAGTGATCTATAAATTATGACTATCAAAGGGACTTTGCAACAGAGACACAAATCAGCAGTAAGGTCAGCAAAGAAAATTGTCATACTAATGAGAGTTTATGTTGTTGAAAAGAAAAAGATAAGAAACTGTTCCACTCAAAAACTTAAAGACAAAAACAGAAACCTTGAGAATTGTTCAATATCCTGTATTTCTGAAGTAGATTAAAAAAAAGGGTTTACCCTTCAGTTATTCAAAGTGAGGGAGATAGTCAAGGAAACACAATTCGGATAAACAAATAGATCTAAAATGATTATGCCCACTCTTCATAGCTCAATTTTGTATAAAATTTTACTCAAGACAGATGAGCAAAGCAATAAAGTTTAAGCCTAAAGAGGCACCCATGAAATTGTCACATTTCTGTTTGGCACAGGTTTCCTGCTGACGTCAATCATCTCTAGAGGTCTAATTCTGTTCATTTCCAAAGTTGCCTTTTAGGCCTTTTTCTTGGGAAATACCCTCCTTTAAATTTTCATCTACTTTGATCTCCTTCCTCATTTTTGCCCTCACAGAATAGCCACTTTTGAAAGAGATGTATCTTTGCTCTGGAAACTGTTACTGTGGTAAAGCTATAATTAAATACTTCTAATCATGTGGTTATTAAAATTTTTTAAAAAACTCCAACATGTGCAATTCCTGGTCTTTTGCTGTTGACAAATCTTGTGATCTAATTTCAAGACAGTAAGATGCTGACTTTGTTTGCCATACCGTAGCAAATACTAGCATGAGAGGAAGCATACATAAAGATAATAAACAAAAACAGGATGAAGTGAAATAATAAGTGAAGTAACCTCAAGAATCCACCCTGAATTTGAAGGTGTGATACTCAGTCAAACTAGGAGAGGTATGTTTAGCATTATGATACCTGCCAAATATGATACAAATTAATTTTTTCCCAAAACCTCATTTATTCTTTTCAACACAAACCTAACAGAAAAATCTAAGATGTGGCAATAGTCTAATGTGACTGAATGGTGGACAGGATTTATAGATATATCAGAAATATGAAAGCTATGTGCAAGTGTGTGGGTAGAATACCATAGATGAAGGTATGTCACATGTCCTTTGTTAGAATGAAAATTGTTATCATTGTTTCATTTTTTCTTTGACTTCCTCCTCAAAATGACACATTGTTGTCATGTTTCTTTCATCTAAAGTATCAATAATTAACTCTTCAATTGGTGATGTGATAAAAGTAAAAGAAGTTACCTTGAACTTTCTGTCATCTCCAGAAAGTAGCATTTCTCTTCTTTCTCCAGAGGATCTTCACCTAACTCAGGGTAGATGTCGCTAACATTCTATGAAAGGTAAAGCATGGTTTGGAAGAAAATATAGAGTGCAAAATTTAAAACCATTGTATAACAATAAGGAAGTCATTCGGATATAAACTGCACATTGCACACATTACCCAAGGGTAAGGATGGGTATTTTATTTTTAAAGTAGGTAAAATTATATTAAAATGGCTATGAGGGATAGGGAAGGTAGCTCAGTTGGTAAGGCACTTGAAATAGATGTTTGAAGTCCTGCATTCAGTCCTCAGAACTCACCTAACAAAGCTAGGTTCCCAGGAGTTCCTTGGCACATGCCTTTAATCACAAAGCTAGACAGGCAAAGATAGGCAGATCTCTGGGCTTCTCTGGCTAGCCAGCCTAACCAAAATTTGAATCAACTAGAGACAATAAAAGTGAGAAACTGTCACAAAAAAGTGGATGGAATCCTGAAGAAAGATGACAGGTTGACTTCTGACTTCCACGTGCACACACACTCACACATATAAGCATGTCCGTACATGAATAGACACAACACTCACATTATAAAATGGTTTTTTGTCTTCTCAGTAATAATAAGTGTACATTTATCCTTCACTTCTCTCACTTATTTATCCCATAGTCACATTTGAGGCTTACTTTGAACCACATAATTAACACATTAGAAAATTAAATATATTGAGAAATAGTGTTCAAGGGCTCACACAGCCACCACCATCAAGGCATTTTCTCTTGTGCTACTGTATTTAGAACATTGTCTTTTCTTTTCTTCTCTTGCAACAGGCTATAAAGCTTTAAATTTTCTACATACAAAGAGAACCCTGGAGTAAATTGATGAACACATAATGGTATTAATAAATAAATAATATTTTTCAAAGAAACTGTGATGATGCTGTAAGAAAATATATTGTTAGGGAGATATAACAAAAATAAAGATATGTTAAATAAAGTTATTAAGTGGTGACACATGGAAAATTGTACACACACTTTGTGTAGTGATGCAAGAATATAAAATATTTAAGGTAATTTAGTCTTGTTTGTTTGACTGCCTTAGCCTGGAATGTTTATGACTTTACAAGAAGTTCATTCAAGTTCTACAAAACTAAAAGACTCATGTTGCTTAAAGTTGATTATCTCAAAAATATATCCAAAAACTTTAAAAGTCTATGTTCAAAGTTGGCATGGCATCCAGAAAACTATTTATTAGGTAACAATTCTTACTACCATGTTTTGTGTCTGGTCCATCTCAGATACCCATTCTAATTTTGTTTATCCTTCTCAGCTCCACTTGGTTTCTACATCACTCTATTACATTATGTACACACCCTCAAATGTTTCCTCTTTTCCATATACTTTTTCTTCTGTTTGACTCTCATTTTCTTACTGAACTTTAATCCATCCACTAAAGCCTCACACACTCTTTTCTGGGTGAAGATGTCACGTCAAACACCTTTCACAGCCCTGTGAAGTACTATCCTCAGGATGTGATAGAATTATTTATTTGTCTCTCCGCTCACTAGACTGTAAGTTCTCTCAATACAAAGAACAGTTCTTTGCAATCTGTATTTTCTGAATGTAAATAACACTTGGCTCTGAGTACTTCTCAAAAATATCTAGAAAATAAGTGACAATTTTAAAATATCTATTATACTGACTATTATGTTAGATATTAGCGTGCTTTTTCTTAAATCCTTATCCAACAGATATAAAAATAAATATACTTTTAGGATAGCTTTGACATGCTGTTAGAATTGAGTTTCAACTTCAAAATTTTCTAAAATTCTTCTTACAAATCACAGGTGTGTTGGTTTATTAGAGAGTCCTTTGACATGGAATAGTAGGTCATGGGAAGTTTTGTAAAAAAAAGTTAGCAATAGGGCTGGAAAGTTGGCTCAGCAAAGAAGAGCACTGTTGCTCTTGCAGAGGACCTGGGTTCAATTCCTAGCACCCACATGGTGGCTAGCAACTGTCTTTAACTCCAGTTCCAAGAGAATCCAATGCCCTTTTCTGACCTCCATGGGTATTGTACAACACAGGTACACTTACACACATACAGGAAACACACTCCAGCACATAAAATTAAAATAATAAATAAAATATTTAAAAGTGAGTAATAGTGTGAAAGGACAGGTACAAAATAGTTGGCCATAGACAAAGAGAAAGCACTTTCAGCAAACTTTCAGAATGTTTATGAGATAGTTGTCTGGCATTAAAGACCACAAGGAAAATACTGAGACAACATCAAAGTGGTGAATATAAGCACAGGGGGATCTGCTCTCACATTGTTACTATCAGTTGAGAGATGTGGAGGCTGATAGGTCCCTGAAGAAGCACACTCTGACATCACAGAGAGGTAAACCTCATATCTCAATTCAGGTATATTTAAGATAAAGAGTCTGATACAATCATAATTCATATATGGCCTTTGCTTTAGTCATGATATTTAAGAATCCTTAGTTCTCAGTAACTTAATAAAGGTAAGATGGTCACGTCAGAGGGAAATGGATGTTTTGAAAGATAATGGCGTAAGTTCAAATGAAGACTAATGCTCAGAAGATCAGAGACTTGTCACTTCCTTTTAGAATAACAAATTCCTAGACATTGAAAGCACAATGAAAAAAGAAACAAGTTTCATCTTTTATTTAAAAAAAGTTTACCATACTCGTTCCCACACTTTTCTTTCCTCTACCTTACCCCAGGATCATCTATCTGTAGATCTACCTATCTATCTATGATCTATCATCTATCTATCATCTATCTATCTATCTATCTATCTATCTATCTATCTATCTATCTATCTATCATCATCATCTATCCAATCTGTCATCTAACCATAGACTATCTATATCATTTATCTATCAAACAATCTATGTTGCTACCTGTCTTGTTATCTATTGGTCATCTATATTTTGTCTTTATCCTACTGCACATCCCTGACATCTTAGTCTCAATAGCTAGTCATATAGAAACCTACTGTCTATATGCCTTCTTGGAAATGAGGGTTTTTACCTCTTATGCTGGATAGCTTTAGTTGTCAACTTGACACACCTGGATAGAGGGACCCTCATTTGGGGAATTTCCTCCATTGGACTGGCCTGTGCCCATGTCTGGGGGGCATCTTCTTGATTATTGAGTGATGTGGGATGGCCCAGCCCAGTGTATGTGGTTCCACCCCTGGGAAGCTGGTCCTGTGTTGTATAAGAAAGCAGTTTGGAGCAGGGGCCCTGGGAGCAAACCAGTAAGCAGTCTTCTTCCATGGC